ACCTATCAATTCAGTAATCTATCTTATTTTTTATATTATACTTCCAAGAGTCTACAAGTTTAATACAACTCTGTAAAATACAGCAGAGCATGCTTAAAGTCCACACAAAGAAAATAAATGTGATCCTGGATTTTAATCCAAGAGAATAAATAGAATAGAACTTGTGCTAAATTGTAATTTAGAGCCATCTTTTTTCTGTTTTTTTTTTAAATGACACATATTAAAATGTTCATAACTACGTTGAGCCTAGAACGAGAACAACTGTGGGTGAACGGATGGCATTTCATCATCTCACTCTTTCTCCTTTTCTTTTTACTAGAATAACTTCAATGTTACGGTAAAAACCAATGTACTTATAAGAACAACAAAGGGGGGGTTGCAGACTGCCAGAAATAGTGCAAATTGAGTCCACTTTAAGGGTTAGGGTTAGTGATAGGGAATCATGGGAATTGTTTTTTTCTGAGACATTGAGCCTTCTCTGTCAGAGAGCTCTAGTGCCACAATAAACTACAGTTCCCATGATTCCCTAACCCTAACCCTAAAAGTGGACTCAATTTGCACTATTTCTGGCAGTCTGCAACCCCCCAAAGTGTCTTGTGGCAACCTACAGAGATTTATTGTGTTCCATACAATTTCATGGACTAGAGTTCGCTTTACCAAATGTTCTAGTTCATGAAAGCTTATGCCACAATAAACCTAACAATCCTCAATGTGCTCAAAGATCCCATTTTCCCCCTTCTTCTACCTACAAGAGCCTACCATGGCTATCCTTTGGAAGTTCTTATCTAGTTCAAAAAACAAGCCTTTAAGGTCACTTCTTAATCACTGAACAGCTCAACTGCATATCATTATTATTACTGAACACATTTTTTCTCCAATACAGGAGTGATTATGTAGTGCAAGAAAAGTACATACTGTGGCATCCTATACCACATACCACAGAATCAAGGGGTCCTCAGTACATACATATCTATTTTTAAAAAAAGACACACATTTTTCTCCAATCCAAGAGTGATTATGTATTGCAAGAAAAGTACATACTGTGGCATCTTATATCACATACCACAGAATCAAGGGGTCCTCAATACATACATGTCTATTTTAAAAAAAGACACACACCTTTCTCCCTTTTGATACCTGAAATCTTGAGCTAGGTCTTACGAAGCATCTTTTGAACCGTGAACCCTCATCCTCCTTTCTACAGAGCCAGCCTCTCCTCTGACCCAGCAGGAAACCAAACAGAAAGTTTTGTCCTTGTTTGCTCCTTTCTGCTTCACCTCCTTTCCCTCTTTTTAGGTCAGAGAGAGAAGCTGGCTTTCTGCAGGATGAAATTCCAGCAGCCAGGCAAACACAGGCTCTGGGTGCAAATCTCCCACACCTCAACCAGTGCCTTTTCCAGGCTGTCCCGCCACAAGTCCACAGGTTTGACCTCACAAGATCTGATGACACTCCCTCCATAAGATTGCAGCTGTCCTGCAAGCTGTAAATCCTGTACCTGGGAGGAAGAGACAGTGAACTTGACTTCCTTCTGCGTCTGCAAAAGGGATCCTGGAGCATCTTGGAGACTGACTGAAAGAAAGCATGCATCTGAGGAATTAGGTTCAAGTTAGGAAAGCTCCTGCTCCCAGCTTCTTTCTTTCAGTCAGTCCCCAAGATGCTCCAAGATCCCTTTTGCAGAGTTATTTTCCAGATCAACACAGCTGTGTCTTTGAATTCCATCTGAGCTCTGCACTAGGACTCTGGAGACCAGAGTTCGAATCCTCTTGAAGCAGGAAACCCATTAGGAGACCTTGGGCAAGTCCCACTCTCTCAGCCTCAGAGAGTGACAATAAGGGCAAACCTCCTCTGAACAAATCTTGCCAGGAAAACCCCAGGATA